ATTCTTGTAAGCTCGCTGGATAACTACTGCATAGAAATTCTCAAACTGATAGTTGTATTGTCTCGCAATCAAGAATCCCCAAGATCGCTTCATTGATCTTCCTGAACTTCTCGAAAAATACTTTATTAAAATAGTTATAGATTAGAGGATCTAACCTAGAATAGGTAGATCATGCATAGTGTCTGCAGGTGATACATTTCACAATTTCACTAGGCGATCATGCATGCAGATTAATGTAGCAAAAAAATAAAGTATAAGCTATGTTTGGCTAAATATAGTTGAGATAAATAATTTTAATATTCAGTCGAAAGATATTAAGTCTATCTCCTTCCTTGCATTTTTTCGCACAGAAGCCCAGTATTTATTAACATCAATAAAGCTAGGTGCACTTGCACTACGCTGAATTAATGCAAAAGGCTTTGGTGGTAATGGAGGAGGAGTCAATGAACGTAGCTCATTAATCAAACTAGATGTAAAGCTCTTGGTTTTCATAGACTTGATTGGCACAATATTTTTGGGTTTAATAGACCCACTAGGCATGATATAGTTGCATTGTATTTTATTTCTTGCTATGGCCAATCTATCAGATAATTGGCGTCTCTTATGCTTTGAATAACTTATATAATCATAAAGTTGATTTTGCGGAACATGATAAGATCTATACCCTCCATCAATAGAATACCATATATCCATATTCACAGTACAACGAATTTCTCTACCAGGCATGCTAAGAAACTTCTTTTCCTTAGGAGTGTTGTCATTTCTAACCACTTCCCAAACTCGTTTTGCAAAAGTTTCAGGTCGCTTCTTATAGTTTCTATAAGCTCTTTGGATAATCCGAGCACTTCCATCTGGGGTTTTAGCTTTGGAGCATTCATTATCCCAATGGTATTTCATCAAATCCGAGGATTTAATCTCATATCCATATCTGCGCCATCCACCGAAATATGTTTTTTTTGGTTTTATATCGGTAATCTTTACCAATTTCCAGCAATCGAAACAAATAGCCATATTACTCTTATGGATTTTGGGTCGACGATAATCATAAGGATTATCCATCCTACCATTCCCGAATCCAGCAAACAAGCTGTGACGGTGATATACACTAAATATCTGATTGGCTAATAGTTCTTGTAATCGAATTCTAACACTTATAGCCCATGCAACTAGAGACTGACCTGGTTTCACAACTGATAATGTATCATATTCCCACTCTATTCCGATTATTTTTTTGAGGTCAGTACCATAACAGTAATTTACAATATATGCACCAAGATATTTCATATCATATCCAGGACGATTATTAATAGGTTTAGGTACAACCTTATTAAATCGCTCATCTAGAATGATATCGATACTGAATCCTGACATAATAATTAATGATTTATAGCAGTTTTAGTAATATTTAGTGATTTAGTGATTTATTGATTTATAGTGATTTTTTATCAAGTTATACTATGGTATAATTAGATTCATTTTTGTGTTTGGGCTAGTTAAAACATGGGCAGTCTGATTTATATGAATCAAGATTCAATCGAGGTTTGTGTTACAGTGCAATTTTAAATATATTGATTATTCATAAAAAATGAGATTCAAAATATCCATAGATGATGCTTGTAAAATTGCAAGTGAAAGAGGAGGAGAATGTCTTTCTAGAATTTATATAAATAGTTCATCACACTTAGAATGGCGTTGTGCTAAAGGTCATGAATGGACCGCATCATTTAGTAATATAAAATATCAAAGATCGTGGTGTCCATACTGTGCAGGTAATATTCGACATACCCTTGAAACTGCTAAATTGGTTGCATTTAATAGAGGTGGAGAATGTCTCTCTAAAAAGTACATTAATGGTAATGCACCTTTGCTGTGGCGTTGTCAAAATGGGCATACATGGTTGGCTTGTTTCAATTCTGTAAAAAATAATAAAAAATGGTGTTGGGCTTGTACAGGAAAAAAACCTTATACTATTGAAGATGTTAAGCTAATAGCACATAACCAAAATGGAGAATGTCTTTCAGAAAAATATATTAATTGTCATTTACCCTTAAAATGGCGTTGTCGTAATGGGCATGTATGGTCGGCTTGTCTCAGTTCCGTAAAAAATAACAAATCATGGTGCCCGACTTGTGCAGGTAATAAAGCATGTACTCTTGAAATTGCCAAGCAGGAGGCATATAAACGAAATGGAACATGTCTATCGGAAGTCTATATTAATTGTCATTCACCTTTAATATGGCGTTGTTATAAAGAGCATATATGGTCTGCTGATCTTCAACATATAAAAGATAGGAAGCAATGGTGTCCATACTGTCAAAATTATCAACGTGAAAATTTATGCCGAGAAATTGTAACAAAATATCTTGGTCCACCTTCTAAGAATCGTAAGCCTAATTTTCTTAAAACATCAGAATATCCAACAGGTTTAGAACTCGATATTCCCTATTATGAATATGGATTTGCAATTGAAGTACAAGGAGAGCAACACGAAAAATATATCAAATTCTTTCATAATGGCGATCCCAATAATTTTATCAAACAGCAAGCACGGGATCAACTCAAGAAAGAATTATGCGAAGAGAATCGGATTGCACTAAGGTATGTTTGGTATTACGAAGACCCATATGTAGTTATTCCTGGGCATCTCCGAGAATTGGGTCTCATTGAATAAACTCGAAACTTTAAATGCAAATCACCAATCATTATTTTTTCGATGCATGATTAACCGCAGGAGATGGTGCCAGATATAGTTAAAAAAGGACAAAACCCGATGCGGGTAAACTAATACTTTTTATTTATGCAAAAATGAAAAATCTGGACACGCGTGTTCACTAATGTGACGCAGTAGAATAGTTCTGGAGGATAAGTATCCCGTTTTACAATACTACATATTAAAAATTTCGAAATCACGCGAGCACATCTCATAAATAGTTAGAAACCACCTATTTTCTTTTGCACGAAATGTTGATGCTTTATTAATATATTTTTTAAAAAAGATATGCGGGATTACTGATATTGACATAAAATTTTTGCTATTCTAATTTAAGCTAGAATTGAAAGAATTAATTGGTTCGGTGACAGTTACAATTTTTCTCATTATAATTCCTTGTTCACTGCCCAACCATTTACATGTATTTAGGGAAACATTAGCGAAAAATTCTTTTTCTATATTACGACTCCGATGAGGCCTCTTCTTTTGCTTAAAAGAGAAATGGCAAATAGCTTAGCGTTATGACATAATGAAGATCCTTCTCTCATATAATCCCTAATTACTTACCTAGCTTTTTATTGAGCTCTTCAACTAATTCCATTATTCCCTCCGCCGGACTTGGTTTAAGTTCGTAAAGGCCAGGTTTACGAGTTAATTTCTCTTCTGTCAACCGGAGAAAGGCCCTACCGTAAGATCTTGATTTCGGATTTTTTCAACATCAGTTTCATTATAATCCGAATTTTTCATTCGAGATTTAAGGAATTGTTTGACGTGATCGGGAGACCATCTTTTAATGTCACAGGGGATATCATCTTCAGATGAAAAATAAAAAAGATAATGATAAGTACAGTATATTAATTTCTTATACTAGCCCAAATTGATCATCATTCTTACCATAAACTTCGCTAGAACTTATCTTCACAACTTCTCCGTTATCATTTCGACGATGCTTTCGATTGTCAACGATTTGGGTGGAAGCGTCTCCTGTTGCAATCATCTGTTGCCTCACCTAATCGAAAGGAAATGTTACCCAGTATGTTTTATCTGTAAATTTTCAGACTAAGATTTACCTGTAATGAATCGATTTTAAATTGGGAATAATCCCGTTTAAGATCCGTATTGAACTTTTTGGGAGAAGTTTTCCAATGCTAAGCAATACAAGAATAAAGAATTAGAAATATTTGCAAGACTGTGTTGAACGAAGAGTTCGTCACTGTGAACTAAGAGTTACAGCTGGTCAAGCGTCGAACATGGAGTTCTTTGCTGTGGACTAGAAGTGTCACTGGAACTAAGAGTTCCCAGTTTCGCTTGAAATTAATGAACTAAGAGTTCAGGACTGGACAGTACTGAAACTAAGAGCTCCCAGCTTCGGCCTGCGATTAGAGTCTCTAACATTTCTTAACTCGTTAAAACCTCATCTTATTAATAAACCTACCGTCCAATGATCAATGATTGCTTGCGCCTTTCTCCTGCGCTCCACACCGAAACCAGAATTCGAATCCGCAATGTGCGCAAGATCTTTTTTTATGTTATCCATTACGTAGCTCCAATCTTTTCTCTCTAAGTTCTTACGGTAATATTCTACTAACTTATTGCACGACCAGTTTTCGAGTGGAATGTTGTTGTAAGAATCCAGGTTAAAACGTTTAAGGGGCTTGGAACAAGGCAACCTTTTCTCCTCACACTCCTTAGCAAAGTCCGCAAGCACCAGCGCAGGACCTGCCTTTAAATTAATATCTCGGAAATCTTGCTTGGTCATCTTGAGGAAGGCGCGACCGGTAACATCATTATTTTTTAAAATTTTGATAACTTCCTCGCTTAGTCCTAACTCCTGTTTCTGCAAATACGAGATAAGTTCGGCCGTTTTATATTTCTTAATTTCTCCCGCCAGCGTAACCGACTCATTTCCAGCGGTAACGGAAGTAGAAGTAGTAGAAGTAGAGGCGGGTGTTTCAGACATAGCGTTTTTATAGTGATATTAGGCTCGGGGGAAAAAAGTGTGTTACGTTCGGAAGAATTTTATTTGCGAAGAAAAGTGGGCGATTGGGAGAAAATTTTCATTACACAGACCTGCCGTGTAGCAATTTCAGAGTTTTTAGCGATTCTTTATTAACTTATACTAGTGAATAACATATTTCAAAATGAGATCCCTACCAGTTCCTCGACACTTCTCGGCACTATCAAGGCGCTGAGTAGTTTCTGGATCACGGATGATCGGCTAATTTAGTCATGTGGATTTTTATTCGAAATCTTATTGGGAGAAGTGTGACATTAATGTCACAGCTAAACCAATGAGATCTGGCAAAGTTTTGGAACAGAGTTATGGGTTATACCGATTTAGCCGGGCCAGAGAACAAGGCGCTGTGCATGGATCTCTCGTGATCGGCGAGGGGGCAGTTGATGAGCAGTCACATTTATAAGAAAATTTTGGACAGGCTGTCCACTAATTATGCAGTGTCAGTATCGATCAAAAAATCTGGACAGGCTGTCCACTAAATTATGCAGTGTCAGTATCGATCAAAAATCTGGACAGGCTGTCCACTAATTATGCAGTGTCACTATCGATCAAAAAATATTATAAAAATAAATGATTAAACTTTATTATATATGTATCAGAACACTATTTTTTTACGCTATAATGGGCATGCCACGCAGTACACTAAACTATCCCCGAAGCACTTTAGCAATTACGTATTTAATGTCATCCTTAGACAAAGCCGTTATAGTTGTTAATGAAAAAGTTTTAACCCTTCCTATCATAGCCCTACCATCCACATTGATGCTACTGAAAAGACCATAAACCTTTTGGGCTCTTTCAATTCTTTTTCGAAGAGCTTCTTCTGAAACGTCGGGAAGCTGTTTCTGCACATCATCGTCAACTAGAGACTGGGACGCCAAATCTTCATGATTCAATCTATAATGATCATACCTTTTCTTCATTGCTTCCGCAAAATCAAAGTAATGGCGAAGAACATCTTGCGTTGTCTTTTTTAGTTGGTCTTCACCAGCAACAATCTTATTATATAGGTTGAGGAAGATATTCGAGTCATTGTTCGATTCAGAGGCGGGTTCAGTTTGCAAAATTTCTTCATCTCCAGGATCAGTAGTAGTCAACTCTCTAATTAGTCTTTGCAATGTAGGGGATTGATCCTGATCAACAGGCTTCTTAGTCTTCTTTGCCTTTTTATTTGAATCTTTTTCAAAAGCAAATTCGCTAGAACGCTTTTTCTGTGCAGTACTTGAATTCTGCTCTATTGGAGTTTCCAAATTATCAATTTCCATATCAGTTGATGGACATACAGGGCACGGTTTTCGCAAATTATCCACACATTCGAAATGTACAATATGCTGGCAGGTTAAATATAGGAGGTGTTTCGTAGGAGCTTGAGGAGGGAATCGAAGAAAACCTAGAGGGGGGAGGCACGAAGAAAGGTCTTCAGAACATTTAGCGCATCTCAAAATACTTTTAACCTGTTGAGTTGCTGTACCCCCGATACCTCCTATCCGTATAGGTGGTGAAGATAGGGCAAACGTTTCGCCCATTGCAGGTGAAATTCTACTTGATTGAGAGGTCTCTCTGGGATCAGGTATTGGCGGATGGGAAACGATAGTAAGGTCATCAGCTTGATCTAAGATGTCCACATTCTTTCCACAGCCGGGGGCTGGACATGTGCTTGGAGTGCCAAGAAAAAGTTTTTTTTCGATACAAAGTCTGTGAAAAGTATGTCCACATGTGAGGTATGAGAATGCCTTGAGAGGAGATATTAAAATATCATTGCCACATTCGGAGCATAAACCTAGATCTGGGAAATCAATATCTCTAACAGTTTTATCTTCGAGACTTTTGAGGATATTATATCCAAGATTTCTAAGATTAACAAGAGAGGGTCTCTCAGATTCCGAAATACTGCTCTTTTCTCTACCCCATAATCGATTATGCTGTATTGGAAAGGTAATAATAGATCACTATTATCTGCCTTGCCACATGAGCAAAGTAATGTTCCATCTTTATACATAGTTTTCGCACAAGTCCGATGGATCATATCACCACAAACATTTAAAACGAGCGATCTAGGCGGGTCTTCTGTCAAAATAGGGATATCACATTCCATACATGACCCATAATCTGGGATAGCTTCATTAGATTTAATCGACGAAATATCCAGCTCTTTACGAAGAATATCCTCTGGGAGGTGTTTCAATATATGCAGTGCAAGTAATTTTAGGGATTTTTTGCGCCTTGGTTGTACTTCATAAATATCTCTACTTTGTATGTTGCCGACTGGGCCCATATTGATATCATCAGTAGTGATCTCTGTCACATCAAATGGAACTTCTGTATTAGCTGAACTCTCTTGGCTCTCTTGGTTCTCCATGGTATCATTTTCCGAAAGATAACTATGTAATTTCTCATACAAGACCCTGTTTTTATAGCACCAGGCAAATGTCCAGGAAAAAACATTCCCCAGATCTTCACTAGCAATTACGCACCGCATTTCGTCATTCATTAATCCCTTGCAAATCGCCTCCCTTGTACCTTTGGTACTGCGGAAGATAAGCCAACTGTTTTGTGAAATATTTTCTTGGCGCTAGGGATTAAATGTATAGAAATAATAGGAAAGTTTCTCTCCTGAAGATCTTTGATCGAAGGAGCCGGGATGACAAATGATTAGCATAGATATCCCTAATTCCCATATGCAAAATATTGATTGCTCCAAAAAATTACCTATATTCGAATATTGTTTTGTTAGTATGATAGTAGCGTGAACGATATAACGAAATTGCAAATCGAGTCAGAAAAAAAATAATGCGAAATATATATGCGATTCGCATGTCGCACAGCCCCTATTCTTCAGCAAGTGTTTTCCCGATATCGTACTGCGCATTTCAGGTGATCAGTTCACATGACGAAGTTTTCATCTATGCTTTTACAGATACTATTGGAATTCCACAATAAACATTCCTGCATTCGAGACGATAAGTTCGTTCACTGCAATATTCACCAGCACCCCATTCACCTCTTATATCATTCCATATTCTTTCTTCTTTATGGTCTCCATTACATAATGGACAGAGTGTTGAACTATTAAGACTAAAGCTGTCAGCACGT